ATGAAACGGGCAGTTGAGACTTGTCATCAAATGGAGAGGAAGAACGACCCAGTGCTTAAAATAGAGGCTGGGACTTGAGAGATGTCACTTGAGAGGTTTGTGTTCAGTCCCTCTTCTGTTTAAAAACTTCCTTAATGACCTTGGGCACAGATGTTTAAGGTATTTGGGCACCTAACTCTTTGGGCCTTACTCCCTCTGTACCTTCTGTTCATCTGTAAAGAAAATGGAAATATCTACAGTTCATAGCTATGCATGGTAAGCGGCAATTCCAGGATTCTCCTTTCCCTGTAAAATATGATATCATAGAGTCAGCATGCCACAAGAGCTCAGAGAAACAAACTGAAGTTTTCTGTCAGACATCCTCCAAATAAATTTTTTGGGAATATGTCCCCCCCCCCATCCCCAGTGCCCAAGAACTTTCACTTGGGCTGTCTGCCACTTGGCTTCTTATTTAATAGCGTACTGAGGTTTCTGTACTTGATCTGGGTCATTAAATATTAAAATGCAGAGTGATCCTGAAAGCCAGGCATGTTTTTGGTGATGCTAAATAACTATAATTTGTTTTCTAATAGATAGCTTTGTTCTTGTCACTGGGCCCAGTTCAATATAAAAATAAATGTGTAGTCATATCAGAGGCTGCTGTAGATCTCAAGTATGGTATTGAGTTGTGTTTTACATCCCAGTGGCATGGAATTGAGAATATGAAATGCAGAGATGGAATGAGTGCAAAGTTTTAGTCTGGACCTGAACTGGCTGACTGTTCAACAGTCCATATTGACAAATATATTTGCAGGCGGCTTTTCTTTGTTCCCAGATCATCAAGAAGACGGTGTCTCAGAAAATGAACAACCTCAGTACTATGTGCCAAATTCAGCATTGTCTTTAATGGAGTTCTGCCCACTTACGTGAAGGCTGAGTTTGGCAGTGTATGCAGTGCTAGTCGCTCATAAGTACTAGTATAAACGCCGGGGAAATGTTTGTGTGGCAGCATCTGTTCTCTGGCTGGCAGGGGGTGCTAGAGTGCAGTGTAGGGTACAGGGACCCCCCCTTGAGATGGGATGCATAATGCCTGTAGCAATCGTGTTTACCATTTTTGCCTGGCCAAAAATACTGTCATTGCTCTAAATAATAATAATAAAAAACACAAGCTAGCATGTTCTTTAGCTAGCATTTGCCAGCTTTCTTGTCTGCAGATTCATTTTTGTTGCTAAGTTGTCCAACTCTTCTTTTAATTGAAGAAAAAGGTAATGTTTGTTACTGTCACTGCTCAAATTTTCTTCTTCTTTATTATCAGATTTGTCTACAGGAATTGTTTACAGGAGGAGAATTGCAACATGTCAGAATGTAATTCCAGAAATCTTAAGAAAGGTAACTTCTTTAAACTTAGGCTCAGTTTGGCTTTGAAAAAACAAAACCAAAAATCAACCTAAGACAAGACTGTGATGCTAGCTACATTAAAGGAGCAGGTATCCCAATGATGCTTCAGCTAAAATAATGTTAAGATGTTTTTTTCCTTTTTCTTCTTTTAAAAGATAAAATGGTTCTGTGCCAGTTACTTTTGCATTGGATTAGAAAGTGCAAAGCCAAAGTTGCAGTCTTATGCTGTAAGATACGGCAAGTGTAATATATGGTGTTGGCATGTTGTAAATGTGGTGATGTGCTTTTAATCTCTACGTACCTGCAAGGTGGCAAATAAGAAGCCTTCATCCATTTTAAATGGTTTCCTCTCTTACTGAAAACTCTTAAAGCAAGTTGCTATCGTTTCCTGGAAGCAGGTTAGTGAAAGACTTTGGATGTGTTTTATGTAGGTTTTGGGCAAGTGTGATTTTTTTTTTTTTTTGGGGGAAAAATAGGCACTGGGAAAATGTTTTATAAAATACATTTAATTACAAGTTAAAATGTAAGTTCAGGGTTTTAGAGGGATATCACCCCAAATTTAGTTTTTTTTAAAAGCAACTTCCATATAAGCAGCTGTCATGGTTTTTTTCCATGAATCTTATCTTTTGCTATCATTGGTGATTTCTGTTAAGCTCCAGTTCTTGGAATTCACAGAATACCTGGGAATGCCAGCTTGTCATAGGATCATAGAAAATCAGGGCTGGAAGAGCCCTCAGGATGCCATCTAGTCCAACCCCCTGCTTAAAGCAGGACGATCCCCAACTAGATCATCCCAGCCAAGGCTTTGTCTACCAGGGTCTTAAAAACCTCCAAGGATGGAAATTCCACAACCTCTCTGGGTAACCTGTTCCAGTGTCTTACTACCCTCCTAGTAAAAAAAAGTTCTTCCTAATATTTAACCTAAACTTCCCTTGCTGCAACTTGAGACCATTGCTCCTTGTTCTGTCATCAGCCACCACTGAGAACAGTTTAGCTTCTTCCACTTTGTAACCACCATTCAGGAAGCTCACAGTTGCTATTAAATTTCCCCTCAGTCTTCTCTTCTCCAGACCAAATAAGACAAGTTTCCTCAGTCTCTTCTCATGAGTCATGTCCCCCAGTCCCCTTACCATTTTTATTGCCCTCTCCTCTACTCTCTCCAGTTTGTCTGCATCCTTGCTGTAGTGGGGGACCCAAAACTGAACACAGTACTTCAAATATGGCCTCACCAGTGCAACACAGAGGAGAAGAATCACATCCCTTGATCCTACTGACAACACTCCTACCAATACAGCCCAGTACGCCGTTAGCCTTCTTGGCAACATGGGCACACTGCTGCCTCCTATCCAGCTTCTTGTCCACTGTAACCCCCAGGTCCTTTTCTGCAGAGCTGCTGCTTAGCCCCAAGTAGATTCTTAGGGTGAGACACCAAAAAGCAAAAAAACCCAAAAAACTCAAGAGGATTACATTCAAGCCAATCTTATATATATATTTTTTAAGGGCAAGCCTGGTTTTTTGAACACTTTGGTCACATCCAGAAAAGCAGGGGTGTGTGCTTGCAGCGGTACAGAAAGTAGTGGCACAAATTTGTGCTGCTACTTCGTCGCAGTGCACACCCCTGCATGTGCCCTTTGTTGCAGGCCATGCCCAGGTCCTGGCTGGGCTCCAGGTGCTGTGGGGAGGCAGAGGCAGTACTGGCTGACCACAGAGTGCCTCAGTGCAGGGCTAGCCAGCAGGAATTCCCCACACTGAGGCACCGTGGGCCCCAGCCATCCAGGAAACGACATATGGAGATAGGGGTGCAGGCAGCCCAGGGCCCAGGGCTGCCTGCTCCCCTGTCTCCATGTTTGTTTGGCGCACGCTATTTTTGTGTACTTTGCCCCACTTTTTTTTTTCTTATCCTGGTAGCAAATTTTGTGCCCACACTGCAAATCAGCAATGCTGTGCATGATTTAAGGTGCAATGAATGTGGTTTGTGGCACCACAAAGAGGCTTGTGGTGCCAAAAACCACACGTGCCTGCATGTCTGGATGCACCCTTCAGGTTTTAATTGATTACAGCCTAACAAAACAAAGATTCAGGAAGGCATTTGTGGGTTACTTTGAGTGGAAAATAAACATGCATGTCCTGAAATCTAAATATTGTATCATTGAGTTAATTCCTGAGAGTCTGAAACTGGAATTGGCGGTAAACTGGCTATATTCATTATCAAACCTGAAGGAAATGCAAAGTTCACAAAGAAAATAACTTGTTTAACCTTTTTAAATTAATCTAAAATATTTTATGTTTCAATTAAAAACATTTATGGCATGATATGTCGGTTGCAGTCCATTTTCTTGCCCTTGCACTATGTGAATAGTCTCAGAAATGCAAGGTACTGTCAGTTTTTGAATGGGAATATGTTAGAAGTCTCATTGATGACTTAGAGAATCCTGATTTGCTGCAATGATGAGTGGTTTCACTTTGTGTGTCAGGTGATGCAGATTAATCCTTACTCATGATTGGTGCAATGCATGAACAACGTTTTGTATTTCTAAGTATACATTACATCTTTGCACTGGTTAAGCATTCCTAATCTCTTGTGTCTTATGTAGGAAAAGCCATATAACCATGTCTTGCATGTTGTGACAAGACCATTTATGCATCTTTGCATTTAAATATCTGTATTTTATTTTCCATGCTTCATCTACCCAGGAAAACAAACTTCCAGGTACGGGACAGAATGTAAAATTAGCTTAGGCTGAGATTCTCACCCATTCTCTGACCTCTGTGGTAGAGCAGCATAAATGAGCTCTAAAAGCGGCTAAGGGATACCCAGCACAGGCACCGAGGAATACAATCATAGACTCGTATTTTACAGCCCTTCAGTCAGGGCTGGCCCATCCTATACTGCGAAACCTGCGGCTGCTGGGGGTCCCGCAGCTAAGGGGCCTCTGCATCTGGCTGCTCGCTACCCTACCACCCGCACCCACCACTGCTGGCAGCTTTTTGGCCACTTCCCCCCGCCGCCGTCGTCACTGGAAGTTTCTTCTGGGCAGGGGCCCCAAAACTATTTCTTGCAGGGGGCCCCCCAAAATGTGGGCTGGTCCTGCCTTCAGTGATCCTATTCTAGAGCTCATGATTAGTAGGTCAGGAATAGAGCCATAGTCTGGAGTGCTGTGGCTCTAGTGGCAGCTAGGGACCGATTGCTGTAACTCGCAAGATCCTTGGGACTGGCAAGAGTATTGCAAAATGAACAAATTTTATATTGAGTTAAAAAGGAGTAGGGGCAAACTGCTGAGCAGCTGATGTACAGTGATTGTCTACATGCTCATTTGTACCTGCTGGCTTATAGAAGCTAAACTCGAACAGCTTAGCCCTTAATAAAACAGGTTTGAGCTTTTATTTCCCATGGGGCAGCCCTTGGACAGTTACTCTGTGTCAGCTGCTCCATGGTTAAATCACCTTTTAACTTTATGTAATGGTGTGTGTTGAAAATATGGCTAAGTTCCTCTGTGGGCCCAAACCAGCCCCCAGAACAGCCCAGGGCCAAGAGAGTGCATTGGTGGAATTTCCTTACTGTCCCTCTTCGTTTTAGCTGTTTGTATCTTGCATGCAGCAGTCTCTGAATGGGTCCCATTAGAATCCATCATTTTAAATAGGCCATAACCAGCTAGAAATGAAACATGAAGTAGCTAGATAATTTACTTAGCATTTAGCAGTCATGGAAATCCAGCTGGGGACTGAGCAGCTTGCATAAATCTTTGAACATTTACATGGCCTTACCAGCTTCTATTAAGGTCAACATGTGTATTATCATCAAAGGCTAACTGCAGCTGATGGTTCTTCATCCTCCGCCTAGCAGTTAATCTTTTGTGTTATCACGAGATAGAAAATAAATTCTAAATATGTGAAAGTGTTTTTTCTCTCTCAAAATACTGACTTTTTGAAAGCTGTAATCCTTCTGCTTGACAGGTGAGTGTCTTACAAGTGTCTGAGATCTACTTAGAAGAGGAATCTTGGCTTAATGTGCAGGAAAGAAATATGCTTCTGAAAACACATTGCCTTACCTGGACAAAATTTGCATCTCTGAGTGAAGAATCTGTCTTCAGGAAAAGTTTGGAAAATCCAAATTGGTATGTACCTGGTGTAGGAATGTAGTTAGATGTATGTGTACATTAAAGACAAGCCAGTTAGCCCAAGGGGTTATTATGTAGTCCTGAAAAGTGTTCTACTTTTCCTCTTGAGCTATTGGTTACTGAAAGAAAATGCTACATCCAAACATGGCCAGGCTTTGGGAAAGTTCAGGTCCTATTTTAAGGTATGTTGACACTGCAGTAGTAGAGCAGCTTTTTTGGACTCAAGGCACCTCTCCACAACTTTTGTGTACTTAGTAACACCCAAATTCAAAAACAGATTTTTATATATTGTAGTGCTGACTTTCATGCAGAGTGGCTAAGTAGCAGGGGTAGGGATCAGCAAGGCAGGGACAAGCCCGAGCCTGCACTTATTTGCTTATTTCCTCACATTCTGTGTTACCTAGATCTTCTGGATCTCATGAAACCCTGGTTGAGAATCACTGGTATAGAGTTTCAAACTAGCCTGATGGAGTACGGGTAGCAGCTCAGCTTTCAAAAGATGCTCTTTGTCAGTGAAAAATAACAGAGGAGAGTGAAGAACCAGGAAATTAAAGACAGTCCTACTAATGCAGAGTAGGACATTGCAATGTCTGTTTTACACATCAGTAAAACAGTCAATGAGGGGTGGTGTTTTATTTCCTGGCCATTATAACCGTTAAATGAGTGGGTACATGGTAAGTATAAAAAGACTGCAAAGGTTCTTAGTAGTAGTAGTAGTAATATTAGAAATGTATACCTTTTATTACATCCATCAGTTCTTGCTTCACTCTTATTGTCCAGTATATTTAATGGATGATGTTCTCTGTTGTCTAGTGCAGTCTTTGTTATTGTTGAAAACTCTTAAGCACATTTAAGAAAAATCCCATCTTCAGACTAAGTCGATTCAAATCTCTGCAACTGAATATATAAATTTGCCTTTCTGACCCAGGCTTGTGTTTGCAAAGTGTATAGGAACCTACTATATCAGTATTAGGTAGTCTCATGTTTCTTAGAAATGGAGCTTAATTGTCCCCAGATACACATTTTGCGAAACAAAAAGATTTCCATCAGTCAAGGCTACTTGATGATTATGAGAGGATATACTTTGGTTCTGTGAATAATAACTGTAGATCCATCTGTTTCTCAGAAGAGCCAAATAGAAGAGGCAAGTTCAATATACCCATCTAAATTCATTGACTAGTGTTGACTGAACTCTGCTGCTTTAGGATATTTTGTGGAAGTCAGGAAGTGGAATAGCAGATCTTACTCTAAGGGTGAGTAGCAGATGGAGGCATGCATGGGGAGGCATACTTGGGTTTGACATAATCTAGCTAGTATCAGCACTGAAGATGTGGTGAGTACAGTCATTAGTGCAGATTTCTGTTGAGCTTATATAGCCTGCTTTAAAATTCATGTCTCTGCTACTGTTATCAATATGGGTTAGGTTAAAACAAACTTGGGTATACCTACCCATGGTGTACCAGATTGCCGCATAGAGATACCTGAAGTTTAACCCCTAGCCTGTAAAATAGAAAAAATGTAAAGGCAGGCTTTTGCATGAATGAGTTTCAGCTTTCTCTAGCATGTATGCAATGGTATTTGCATTTGAATAAGTGGACTTATGCAATTAAAATAAAATAATTTAAATGATGTGTTAATGTACAATCTCTTCTTCAAAAAGAGTTGAAATGTGTTGGCAAGATTAAAAACATTTAGCAGTTGAGGGGTTTGGATCTGTTTTTGTTTGTTTCCCTTCTTAATTTGTCACACTCTGTAGAATAGGTGATGGGGCTGCTACACCACTGCACAGTTTTTTTGTATTATTTAAGGTCTTGTACAGATCAAGTCCTCACAGTTTCTAGCAAGGAGCATCAAGTGGTTTCACTTAAGGATGAGCAGAAGATCTGTGCGGGTAAACCAGAGGTATGCTGATTAATAAAAAGCCTGTGGTCCCATTTGTAGCAAATTTGCTTTATTTTGCAATTTGTATAAATTGCTTATTTATAATGTGTAGGCACATGGCTTTTTAGATTGGCTGATATCACTCATATTGTTATTCAAATTGCTCAAATCATGAGTGAGACTTTATAAAGAGGGATAAGGCAAAGTGCCGCATTTATTGATAACATGAGTTAGACATAGAGGTTTGGGCACACCAGTCATACATACAAACATACACAAATCATCATACGCATCATTACACACATCATTACATACACAAAACAACCATTTCATCCACACACACACCAGATATAGTTACCAGCAGTAGTTGCTCAGTATCAGCCCAGGGTGGCCAACCTGGGCTTATTGAGTAGATGATGATGATTTGAAGATAGCAGATTTGAAGATAACAGCTGGAGCGGGGTGAACAGATGCATCTGTGCTCTGGTGAAACAGCAGCAGAGGAAGAGACTCACCCAACTTGGCATTTTCAAAGTGTTCTTTTATAGGGATTGGCATTCTTTGATTCAGAGCTTTGGGGTTTTTCCATACCCAGCTTCTGTTTTTGTGGTTGTTCTTTTGTCTTCAGCTTATCTTAGCCTTAGAGTGTTCTTGCTGCCCGTCTGGCAGGATGGGTGCATTTCTTCTCCTTGTTATCTTCTTTGTGCCCTAGGCCTAAAAGGGATTCTTCAGCCATTCATTAATTAGTTTACTGACTGGTAGCTTACATTTGGCACCTTGTTGCTCACATAAACAGTTAAATCTTCTTCTCCAACCTCTGCCATTCTCTCACCATTCACTCTTTTACACACACTCATACATAAAGGCTATGCAGAGTTCATTCACTTATGCCAAGCAGAAGGATACAAAATAGAGTTTTCAAGTTGCTTACAGGATAAGACTAACATGGTTACATTTCACTATTATTATACTCTATGTTAACATCAGCTACATTAGTTCAGTTCATGCTACAATATTTCTAGTTTTTGTAAGGAGAGAGAAGAGGAATAGTCAGTATTTGTAACTAGGGCTGCGCCAATAGGTATTTTGGGGGCCAGTACCAATAGCTGATTTTTAAGAAGTCATATCAGCCAATACTGATCTGATTTTCCAATACAGCTGAGTCCAGCTGCTAAGTCTGTTGTGGTGAAAAGAGAGGGTGGGGGAGGGGGAAGGGGCATGGGGGGCAGATCAAGGCCCCTGCAGTG